GCATCATCCTGCTGCACACCCCACCCTGCAGCCCCTCACCAGCCCTGCCCCGGCCCTGCAACTGCTCCAGGCCAGCTCGTGTGGGGCTTGCAGCAACCTGGAAGAGGAACTTCAAGATCCCTTCCAACCCAAACTATTCCAGGATCCCATGACCAAGGAACAGCCTCCTCCCCACAGGCCTCCTGTAGTGTAGCCTCTGTGGCAGCTTGGGAGCAGCTCCCAAGCCAGCTCAGCCAAGGCACAAGGGACCCCCCTCCCTGAGGGACACCCAGCCCCAGGGACCCCTCTCTTACTGCAGAGCTGCTCGATGGTCGCCCACTGCTCTGATTTTTTCCAGGTCTGTGCAAGCTCCTCATTTTTGGTCCTCACGGCTTCCAGCAACAAGCTGATGCTGTCCTGGAAGTCACAGGTGGGAAATGAGCACTCCAGTGCAAGGCAGGACTCTGAATCTGAGCTGTTCCCCTTTCCCAACATCCCTGGGTGCCCCAGTTTATCCCTCTGTTCTCCAGCATTCAGACAGATCCCAACACCCCCAAAGCTCCTTTCCTCTGCTTCCAGGAGTTATTCCCTACCCCTGTGGGCCAGTGTCCTGGCACTGTGGGGCAGTCCCACCCTCCAGAGGAGCAATCCTTCCATGCTGGGGCACTCCAGCCCCCATCCCTGCTCCCATCCTGATCTCCAGCTGCCCACGGTCCTCTCGGCTGCCTCGCGCATGCGCGGCCTCTGCAAACACGGCCCAGCTGGATCTCCCTGGGAAGCTCCGGGGCAGCTGCCAGGCCCCGGTGCCCGGCCAAGGGCAGCAGAGCTGCACAGCCAGGACCTCGCTGGCCTTGAGCTCCGGGGGCTCTGATCTCCTCATTGTTCTCACCAAATTCCTGACTCTGAGATAATTTTTAAAACATTTCCAGCTCTGGGAGCTGCAGCCAAGTTGGCTCTGGGATCATGTGGACAACAACCCCCCTCAGTGCTCCCAGCAGCTCAGGGGCTTTGTGTTTAGAGCTTAAAAAAGGTTTTAAAACTCTTTAGGCCTTCTCCCAACAGCTTGGTCGGGAAGAGCCAGCACAAGGCCCTGCCCAGGGCCATGGGATGGCAGGAATGGTCACTTCCACCCTCCTGAGGGACCCCTGGAGGGGCTGAGGGCCTGGATGGGGGGGATGGTGTGGGGACAGGACCCTCCCAGCCCCGTTACGTACCCGCAGAGGCATGACCTCGTTTGTGACCAGGAAGAGGAGCAGATGGAAATCAGAAATGATGTCTAGGAAAATGGAGGAAGTATTTTGGGACAGGTATGTGGCCAAACTGTGGAAGTCCTGGGGAGAGGGCACAGTAATGAAGAGAAGTCAATTCCTATTTGGATCCACTAACAGACATTCCTGTCCCTCTGGCTATTGTCTGCAATGTGCAGAGACATTCCCAAAATCAGATCCCCATCCAGCTGACTGAAAAATGATCTCTGGGCCCACAGGAGCTCCTCCTGACCAACCCCAGCACCCACAGAGCCGATCTCAGATCCAAGAGGGGGAGCCAGGCAACTTCAGCCTTGCTCCTACAGAAAAGGAGACATCCCATCCCATCCCATCCCATCCTCTAGCTCTTGCAGAAACAGCTTTCAGTGCTTAAGGATTCCATTCAGGAAGAGAAGGGAGCAGGAATAGAGCCCAGTCTCAGCAGGTTTGTGGAGCCCCCTGGCCCCTGTGGAGCTGCCTGGCAGGCACAGGGAGCCCTGATCCCATCGGGGATGTGGCAGCAGCATTGGCATGCAGACACTGCTCCGTGCAGGAAGGACCAGGAAGGCTGAGCCAGGAAGGGGTGACTTGAGGGCACAGCTGTCCCTCTGCAGATGTCAGTGAGCACGAGGGAAGGAGAGCTCATCCCCAGGGAACCCAGGAATCCCATCAGGAATCTCCCCTCACCTGAGTTTCTCCCAGCACATCGCGGTTCTCGATGGGGAATGGGTTTTGAGAAATAGAAAAAGTGTAGACTGGATCCTTGGGGAAAGTTGTAGTAATCTAAAAAAAAAAAAAAAAAAAAAAGAATAGGAGGAAGGATGATCAGAGAGACCAGTGGGATATGGGAAGCAAGTCCAGATAGCTGAGAACAGCCATGGCTATGATCCCAGCTCAGCCAAACAGTGAGGCATCCTGCAGGGATCTGATGGCTTTTAATTTAATTTAAAGTGATATTCCATCACACACCCCTTGGCTCCCTTTCTAAGGAAGCTGGAGGGACATGATGGGTTTGGTCCTGACAGATGCCACGGAGAGCATCCCTCTCTGCACAGGTCACTGGGATACAGCAATGCTGGCACAGCTGTGCCCTGTGCCAGGCAGCTGCTGCAGGAGGGAGGTCCTGGGGGGATCCTAATCCACATTCCAACCCTCTGTTTTCATTCCATGACACCCCAGGTATCCCAGGAACAGGTGCCTTCACTCCTGCAGGAATTCCCGTGCTCTGGCACTGCCTGTGCCAGGGGCAGCTGGACCTGAGAGGCTGCTCCAGGTGCATCTAATGGTTGTTGGCACCACCTCCAACTCCAGCAGTATCATCTGGCATCCCAATTATTTGCTTTCCTGCCTTCCACACTGTAACTTTGTTTCCCAGCCCCGGGGCTGAGCTGTGCCGTGCCTGGCAGCAGCTCTGCTCCGGCCAAGCCGTGCCAGAGTGAATTCCCTCCTCCAAGAAAAGGCATTTCTGGACAACCTGCTGAGTCACTCAAAGGAGATGGATCCCTAATTGCTGCTCTGGAGTTTCCTCATTAGGCAGTGCCCGGGACACGGGTCCATGGGGCTGCTGCTTCCCGGCCATGTGGCTCTGGGCCAGCTCAGAGCCCTGATAAGGCACCAGGCACTGTTTTCCTGGAAAACAAACGTGTTCCTGGCAGCACACCGACCCCACGGAGCAGGGCAGCCACCTCCCTGCTAGCAATGCCTGGCAGCAGCAGGCAGAGGAGGATAATCTGTGTCAGGAATCCCCTCCAGTGGGAATTGCAGAGTTTGCTCCCCTGTGAGCATCTCCAGTGGGAAGCAAACACGTGCAGGGAATACTCACGTCTATGATGAGGTACTCGACCGGGAGCGGGCGAGCCAGCTGGGTGATCTCGTTCCCAAACTTGTCTATGTCCTGAAAGAAAAAGAGTTGGGTTATTGCTGAGCATGGAAGCGGTTGAAGCCCAAGGGATCCTGCCCTGGAGATGCTCATGCAGAATCCTGAACCTGGATGGGTGGTGCAGGGCTGCCCAGTTCCCTGCTGCTCCCTGGGGCTGGAGATCTCTGTAATTCCAGCACCTCTGGAATCAGGGTCTCTGTTTCCTTGTGAGCCAAGAGAGTGTGGAGTCACAAACCACCTTGGGCTTGTCTCCCACTAGAGAGAGGCTTGGAATCATCCATGGAGTGTAAAGGTGGGATTCTTGGGGTTGTGGGACTCCATGATCCTTGTGCATCCCCTCCAACTGCAGGTATTCCATGATTTTAAATGCCATTTAGGCAGCAGCTCCATCTCAAAGAGAGGGACAGGTCACCTCTGCCTCCTCAGCCCAAGCAAACCCGCCTTTCTGCAAATCCAGGAGTGCCTCAACCAACTCTTCATCTGGGAGTTGGGAATCCAGGCACTTCCTCGCACCCAGACCCTTGGAACCAGCACATCCCATGGCGTAAACTTGTTTTGCTTTGCCAGACGAAGGGAACATAAAGTTTAATTAGGCAGACAAACGGCCGGCATATGTTCATTAATCATAACCTGACAATTAGACGTGATTGATGTCAAACACGCCGGGTTCAAACGCCGCTTCGGAAATAAATCCCAGAGAACTGACACTTTTCATTAAAGATTCCGTACGAGGGGGTTGTGTTTTCTCCCTAAATCATCACTTAACGTGGCATAAATCATTCATGGAGCCCCACATAAATCATACGCCCATAACTCCCAGGCAGGGACGCTGCACTGGACAATCCATGGGCTCTCGGTGGCGGGAGCTGGATCTGGAGCTGTCACCCCCCAAAGGTGACAAAGCCCCGCTCTGCCCGTGCGGGATGGGAGCAGCATTCCATGGGCTGGGCCAGGCAGCACCGTGCAGGGCCCTGCCGACTCCAGGACTGCCTCCCCTCTCTCCCAGCCGTGTTTTCTCCCGGAGAACACCACTCCCCCGCTCTCCCTGGTGTTTACACAGCACAGCTATGCGGAGCAGCAGCCAGCACCACCCCTCTCCCAGGCAGGCCTCGCCCCAGCAGGCTCCAGCACGCTGCTCCCCTGCAGGCACAGCCCCCCTTCCCTTCCCGACCCCCTGTCCCCAGGAACTGTTCCCTCTGTAAAAAATCTCCCTTCCAGTCTTTGAAGCGCCTTTGAAAGGCAATCCTGATAAGGATCTTTGCTCCTCGCACATGACAGGTTGTGGCCTCAGATCTCTCTGGCTCCGACAGGAGCAGGAGGAGCTGTGGAGCCTTTTTTTGGGAGATCACAGGACCCCAGAGCCAACCTGCTTCTAGATCTCAGTGATACCACAAGAGACAGGAATCAGATCCAATCAGCTTCCCAAACACAATCCTGCCCCTGCATGAAGGGACCTGCAACAACTCACGCATAATTAGCCCATCTGGAATTTATTTTCCAATCTAATTAAGTTCTAATATGCAGAAACATTTTTCCAGCACCTGTTGGCTTTAATCTCCCCCTCTGGGGATTTCCATGTTAAATGCCTGCTTTTTCATGGCATGTTCCTGAGGCCTCTGAGACATCCACAGACTGGAACTTGGCTCCCCTCAAGTCCCCTAATCCTGACAGGACAGTCCCCTCAAACACCAATATTCCTCTCCCATCACCAGGATTATTTAATTATATTTTAAAGGCCTTAATGAACATCAAGTTGGGATTGCTGGGAGAAAGATCCTTCTCCTGAGCTTGGCATCACCAGGACCCTCCCAGCATCCTGTTATTGCTGCAGCCTGAGACCCCCAAAGCCCAGTGGCACCAGCTGCAAAGGGAGGCCAGGAAGGGGTTAATGGAGTGAGGAGCATTTGGCTTCAGGATGAAAATCCAGCAGCAGGGCCTGGAGGGTCTGGACAATGCATCACCCCAGTGGAGATGGCATCAAGGCTGGGATTAGAGCCCTTCAAGCCACTGCTGGAGGCAGGAGCTGCACAGGGATGAGGGAGAACAGGGAGAAGGGTGGGAACACAGACACCTTGGCAGGATGGAAAAACTTCTGGGTGGCCTCAGGATTACCCACAGAGGGTGAGGGGAGCTGCCAGCCAGGAGGGAGGCTCAGGATCCACGTCCCAGGACAGCTGTGAGCATCCCCCTGTCAACGTCCCACGCTGCTGTCACCGTCCCGTGCCGCGAGCATCCCGCATCCCACGCCGTCATTCCCGACCTGCTCCCTCTGCCGAAGGCACGCCAGAGCTCGGCAGCCATCTGTCCTTCCATGTGTGAGTAAATCCCAGCTTTGCTCTTCCCCCTGCTGACTCGCAGGCGCCTTCCCGGGCACTCCTGCCCCTCGCAGGGGCTGAGGTGCAGAAACAAAGTGACTCCTCCAAGAGCAAGTGACAGGTCAGGGAGAGTTGAAACCCTTCCCAGGAGACTCCTGATGAGCTAATCCAACATCCTCCTCCCTGCAGCAGCTGGGACATTTGAGGCTAAGGCGGCTCATGAGCTGGTGGGAGGGCAGCCAGGGAAGTCCTTCCCCGTCAGTGAACACTCCCCGCAGCCTGGCTCTCCCTGGGAAGAGGATTTCCAATGCCATGGTAGGACAGCCTGCCTCAGAGCTCCTGCTGGGCTCTCATAAGAGCAGGGCCCTGGCTTGGGTTGTCCCAGGGAGGGATGGGACACGTGTCACTGGTGCCAGGCCAGGGCTCAGACACGGCTCAGCCACAGCAGAGCTCAGAGCACGTGTAGGACTCGAGGGCAAAGGGCTCTTGCACAACGCTTGTAAAGGGCCTTTGTCTTACACCACCCCAAAGAAACTCTGGGGGAATGATAAACCATCCCGAAGAAACTCTGGAGGCACATCAAACCATTCTGAAGGAACTCTGGGGGGATGTTAAGGCAGCTGGAAAATGCAATTCACTGTGAGGATGACGATGACATCGTGTTTGCGCTGAGCTGTCACAAATACCTGTGATAAGAGACAAAGCCAGCCAGCCCCCAAATCCAATTATCCAGGAGTTTTAAAGCTCTGTAAAACATCAGGAATCTCTTCCCACAGCTGATGAAGCTAATGGTGGAGCAGTTCAGCACTGCAGAGCCCCAGTGGACTGGGAGGAGGTGACAGCTGGGCTGGGGTGCAGCAGCCCAGGGAGGGATCCCCCAGCTGCACCCTGAGCACTCCCTCAGTGCTCAATATCAACCCAAGGTACATTCTCAATGAAATCCAAATCAACCCAGCTGTTTCCTAAAACCAGATGGACAGAGGAGGCTGCTCAAGGACAGAAGACAGGATGGAAAATCGTGTGGAATATTCAGCTGGGCTCACCCTCCTCCAAGCTCAGAAACTGGGTGAAGTGGCCATTGCAGCATCACCATTTTCACTCACAGGGTCTTTATCCCAGTCTGTGTCCATGTCTGCACACCCTGGACTCCTTCCTGAGCTCTGTGTGCTGAGCTGGCCAAGCAGCACGTGCTGGCTATGCCCTGTTCCAGCTGGAACCAGTGCTGGGCCCTGATGCTTCCCAGACACCCCTGGAGGCCGGCAGGGATCCATTTATCCCTTATTCCTCCTGGCTAATCTCACCTGGGGAGGCACCTCAGAGCAAAGGAACTTGTTCCCACAGTCCCCAAACCACTGGGGCAGAGCTCTCCCCTCTCCCCTCCAAAGCCAATTCCATGGGGGTGGCTCCTCGGAGCAGCAGGCCAGGGGCCAACATAAAGGAAATGGTAAAGAAATACAGAAACCACCCAGCTGCAGGCTCAGGAAAACCACAGGACAGTGCCAATGTGCCATCAGCTTTCCCACTTCCATGGAAGAAAAGCAGCCCCTTTTCTCATTCACAATCTGGAGGCGAATCCACCACGCTGCCCTCGGACAGATCTGAGTTCCACGGGTCCTGCCTCACATCTGGCTGTTCTATAAATACATCCCCACTCCACAAACATCAGCCTCCTGGTCCTCATCCAATTAGAATTAATTTGTAGAGCTCCTTTCATCCTAAAGGGCTTTTCAGATGAATACTTGGATATTGTATGGGAACGCACATGGACTTTTCTCTGCACGGTCCCAGAGGAAACAACAACAACTACTCCAAAGTGCAGCTTTCTCCCAAAAACTTGCTGAGGGGGGGCAGCACAGAGGGGAACCCCACATCACAGACTGGGGACAAAGGGAGAGCAAGGTACTGGACCCCAAAGGTCCCACCCTGTGCCACCAGATTGCTGCTCCTCCAGGAGCCCACCGGGGCTCGGGCACGGCTGCTGTCACCATCCCAGGATGAGGTAGTGTCTCTGACCTCAAGCCTTGCACATTTAATGGGACCCCAAAGGTTTCCCAAGCAAGGAGTGACTAAGCTTTCCACAGATTCAAGAACATTCAAAAATAATTGAGGGATGCTCGAGCCAAATCCGTTGGAGGCTGAGGGAGAATCCCACCCGGCGGGGCCATCCTCGAGCGCTCTGGAAAGGGCAATCAGGGAGAGCAGCTCTGAAACATGAAATCAGCTGCAGCCCGACCCAGTGAATCAGTGGATGATGGAAATTTCCATGGAAGGCTGGAGCCATCCGTTCCCATTCTGTTTATCTCCCTGCTTCAGATTAGAGATGGGAGTGAAGCCCTGGTGGGAACACCCACTGGCTTCCTGCTGCTCCCAGCACCCCGGGTGGGCCACATGTGGGCCCCAGACCTGCAGGACCTCCTGCGAGGCTGCCCCAGTGTGGCACGGCCTGGGCTGCTCCACGGTGGGATGGGGCCATGCCAGAGATGATCTCACCCTCCTCACGTTCAGGGCCAGCCTTTGCACACCCAGCTCTGCTTATCAGCCCCCAGGAGGAAGCTGCCTGCTCCAGAGAGAGCAGGATTCCATCTGCTCTCCCTCTCCAGCGCTGGATTCAGCCCAGAGGTGTTCCCTGTTTCCAGGTGGGGTCAAGGCCAGCCAGCAGTCTGACACATGGAGGTTCAGAGGGAAGCCAGCACTTCCCAGTCCCAGGTTCAGGGCATGCAGAACACCCTGATCAGCTCCATTCCCACTCTCATTCCACTCCTCCCAAACAAAGGCAGCGTTCCTTGTCCTGTGCTCTTTAAAGGACAGCTTTACCACAGGTAGCAGGAGCAGACAGGACAGGAAGGAGATAACACACGGGGTGATGGATGGCTAATTAGCCAGCCAGCAGTGCCATTAATTAACTCCTCTATCCCTGCTCATGGGGCACCAGGAGCCCAGGGCTGGCAGCGCTATCGGCACTCGCAGAGAGCCTGATCCAGAGCTCCCAGCTCGGCCATGCAGGCACAGGAGGGGCTGAAGGGCTCCAGAACAACTGGCAAGGGAATAATGACATTCCATCCATCACCAACAACCCCCAAGTGCAGCAGGCAGGGACAGCAGTGACACCTCATGTCCTTCCAAGACCCCCTCCTGCAGAGCTGCCTCCAGCTCTGGGCTCCTCAGCACTGGAAGGACATGGAGCTGGTGGAGTCCAGAGGAGGGGAGATTTACTTGGAGAAGTCTCCAGGGAGACCTGAGAGTCCCTTCCAGTGCCTAAAAGGGCTCCAAGAAATCTGGAGAGGGACTTAGGACAAGGGGTGCAGTGACAGGACAGGGGCAACGGCTTCCACTGCCAGAGGGCAGAGATGGATGGGATACTGGGTAGGAATTCTTCCCTGAGAGGGGGATGAGGCCCTGGCAGATTACCCAGAGAAGCTGGGGCTGCCCCAGCCCTGTAAGTGTCCAAGGCCAGGATGGCTGGAGCTTGAATCAACCTGGGATAGTGGAAGGTGGCAGGGGATGGAATGGGATGAGCTTTAAGGCCCCTCCCAACCCAAACCATTCCACCACTCTATGACATTGAATATTGTGCATCCAGAGCGGGTCCAAATTCTCCCTGCTGCTGCTCAGGACCAGTGCTTGGACGCAGGGGCACACCCCAGAGCTGGGCAGGCCCTCAGCCCTCACCTTGTAGAAGACATCAGGCACGTACTGCTCGCTGCTGGACTCCTTGGCGTAGCCCAGCTCGGGCGCGTCCCGGCACGGCAGCAGGCACTCGTCCCGCACCAGGGCCATGCACTGGTTGGACACCTGGTACCCCTCAAAGTGCACCTGGTTGTCAGGACCACCTGCAAGGAGGAGAGCGTGGTTAAAGATCCCAGGGTCACCGAGGTTGATCTGTGACTGATCCACACGTTGTCACCCAGGCCAACATCCCTGGGCACCTCCGGGAGTGGGGGCTCCATCTCACAACCCTTCCCGTGAAGAAATTCCTCCTGGAAATCCTGCACAGGGTGATTTCCCTGGTGTAGCTCTGGAAGAGCAGCCCTAAGGTTGGACTCGATGGTTTTGGAGCTCTTTTCCAACCTTAACAATTCCAAGAGTCCATGATTAAACACAAAGCTAACAGTGATGAATACTGAGATGAAGCTGCTGCTGCGGCTGCATGGCAAGAATTTTAGGCAAGAATTCCCTCTAAACTGCACATTTTTATAGCCACACACATTTCCACAATTATCCCAAGAGCACAGAGCCCAGGGAACAGCAGGGATGCTGTGCCAGGAGCTCCAAGGAGGAGGAGCTGCCCTTTTGGGGCTCTGACTGCACCACCCTCCACTACCCTGCAGGTTTCTCCTCCTTTTCCAAACCAAACTCAGGCATGCAGCTCCTGTGGCCCTGTTTCACTCCCAAGAATCCCTGAGCTGCAGATCACTTGGCCATGCCAGGCCTGAACAGTGTTTTCTCAGCCTGCACTGGATAGTTTGGTGGAAATCTGACATGGAAAGTGGGAATTAGGAGCCTGGCTGATGGAAGGATCACATGTTTGGCACTTTCATTTGGATAATGTAAGCAACATCAGGTCATGTGTCACTGGAATACAACTGGAAAGAGAGGAGGGAGGCAGATGGTAGGAAAACGTTACTATTTCCAAAGCCAGGAATTCAGGAGGGAATAGGAATTAATCCATGTGGAGGATTTAAAGGCAAAGTTGAGGCAAACTATCCAAATACATTTCTGCAGCACAAAAAGAGGGACTCAAGTGTTTAAATAGAACCTGCTGGGCTGATTGAACAGAGGAGAATGAAATTAGCTGGAACAGCAAAGAGGAAATATTCCTTTTCTACCCTTTGATCTGTAACCTCAATCACTCACTGCTCCAGAACAAACACTCCTAGAAATTAAACAGACCAGGACAGGGGAAGGCCTGAACGCAGTGTGTTTGCTCAATAAAACACCTTGTTTAATAAAAATAAAATAAAATAAATAAATAAATGTATAAAAGAGAGATACAGATCTATATTTAATGAGAGATGGATGTGTTTAGCAGTCTGGAACGTACAGGCACAGGCCTGTTAACTAAAAAAAGAGCTTTTTTCACAGAAAAAAAGGCCCTGGGAACCCTTACAAAGCCAGGCTCAGGGCAGGCAGTGTCCCATCCCACTTTCACTTTTCACTCTGGATGTTATTTGGAAGTCATGAGGGTTTTTTCATTGTGTTAAACAGAGCCAGAACCAGCGATTCTGCTCCAGGGAAGGTTTAAATGAAGACATGTGTCATCCCATGGAGAAGAACAGAGTGAACTGGGAACACTCCAGCCCTCCCAGCACATGCCAGTGTCCCCCCTCCCAGCCCAGCCCAGCCCATCTCCAGTGCCTCTGGAGACTCCCTGAAAATGGCTAAAACCAGAGGCTTTAACCATAAGCACTTTGCAGGAGCTTCTGTTTTACTCAGCCAAAAAAATGTTTCCAAACAGTTTTTTTTTCCCCCTGACAGATTTTTTTTCCCAGTCAGGTTTCCCTGACAGCGACATGAGGGAGGTAAAGCTCCCTCCTGAAGGAGGAACTAATCCATAACTCTGGAGTGTTGTGGTTCTGCACTGCTGCTTCCAGGCAACAGAATTTGGAGCTTAAGGATTTGAAATAAAAAGTGAGCAACAGTTGTTGCCCTGGCTGCAGGCAGAGAGTGATTTCTGGGTCACAGAGGTGGGGCTGAGCCTCAAGTAAGTCTCTTTAAACAGTTGTAGAGTAAAAACCAGGCAAATAAATAATGAGTGAGTATTGCAGAGAGGATAAAACAAAGAATGAGGAAGTATTTTCGTTGATAGAGCAAACCCCTTGTTAAACAGGACAGATGGGGAGCAGGACGTGTGATTTTTGGCATATTCTTCTACTACCAAGAGGTAATTCAGGTGAAGCCTGAGGGCTGAGGCCAGTTTGTACCTGTAGCCACAACTGTGACAAACTTGGATCCAAAGTGCCCATCGGGAGAGAGGCGACAGATGTTGGGCTGCTGGTTCTGGAAGTTGCCAGCTGTGATGCACTCCTCTGCACTCAGGAAATACGTGTCCTGAGGGGAGAGCACGGACTCCAATCAGCCACAGGACAAGGTGACGTAGCCCAGACCTATTCCCTGAGCTGCAGCCAAGGAAAACGACCAACACCCCAGGAAAACACGCTTTCGTGGAAAGCTGCTGAGGAGCCCGGCACAAGAATGTGACCTGTCAGCTCCCCAGCTCTGGGCTGCCTCAGCACTGCCCCAGCCGAGTCCCACCCACCTCCACACACCTTTTTTTTTTTTTTTTTGAAAAATCAAGTTTCACTTTCCAAATATGGATATCACTGGCTTTACAAGGACAGGAAGCTGTGGAGGTCGAAGTTTGAGCCACGTATGTGTCACAAAGCCCAGCCCATGGGAGCATCCTCTGAGTCACTCTCTGCCTCACTGGGTTTGTCCCTCATCCCACTCCACTCCTTGGAGCTTTCTTAGCCCTAAAAAGGGCAGGGATAGATGAGATTTCAGGGAGAAGTTGTTCCCTGTGAGCAGGGTGAGGCCCTGGCACAGGGTGCCCAGAGCAGCTGGGGCTGCCCCTGGATCCCTGGAAATCCCAGGTTGGACAGGGCTTGGAGCCCCCTGGGACAGTGAAGTTATCCCTGCCCATGCTGGCACTCTATGGGCTTTAAGGTCTCTTCCCACTTGAACTATTCCACAATTTCACGAGCCCTATTTCCTCAAAGCAGAGATCTGAAGGGCTCCAGCAGCTCTGCCTGCTTCCCAAACTGCTCAATCCCTAACATTTCCAAGGTTCCAACTCCTTTTCCTTCAGAAATGCCTGGAAAACCCCATCTCCCAAGAACTCCAGTGCCACCTGCAGCCCTGGCTCAGCCCTGTGCCTGGCTCAGGAGCTGGAATTCATTGGGAATCTGCTGGGTCACACCTGGATCTCACCTTGTTCCTGCTGTATCGAACGGTGCCTTTCCGTGTGTCTTCCGAGACCAGGTCAGTAAATATCCAGCCAACCTGCAATGGGGGACGGAGAACGTTGCTTTAAGGAAAAAAAGGACAAAAAAAAAAAAGAAGGAAAGAGGAAACCAGAAGAGCTCAGACATTTTCTGCTCACAGGACACGATGTTCTTGGCTCCCCTCGGCCCTGTGCACACTGCTGCAGGGAATGGCTCTCCCAGCTGTGCCTTGCTCCTTGGAATCCCATTTCCAGGAGCAGCAGCATGCCAGCTGGCCAGCCAGGGCACCTGCAGCATTAGGTTTCACTGTGGAATATTTTTTCATGGAAAGATCTGGAGGTTGCAAGAGGCCTCTGTGGCACCACCCTCTCCCACCCCCAGCATTTCCTATGGAGAGTCTGGAGCGGGATCTGGTGCCCGGGAGTGACAGAGCAGCTCAGGTGGTGCCAGCCTGACCCTGTCACACAATCCCAGTTTGAACCTTGCATGTACTGGTTCAGAGAAAGCTCATACTGGAGTGTGACCCATTCCACACTGGAGTCAGCACTGACCCCAGCAAGCACATTCCTGCTTTTTGTGGTACAAACACACCTCGGAGTGAATCCTCTCACACACGTGTGACGTGTGTCAAACACCTTGGCATCAACCCTTGCACGGAGCTGTGACAGGGACACACACCTTGGCATGATCCCTCTCCAGCCAGGTGCCAACCCCAGCTCCCATTAACCCTTCCAAGGCAGAACTGATCCCAACTCCCCCAGAGCCCAGGCAGACCAAAGCCTGCAGCCAGCACTTGGTGACGTGTTAAGTTCCATGGATTAAAAATATCTGATGGGAGAACATGGAAATAAATAACACTCTGAGAAGTTTTGCTCCAGCCTCTGGCGAGGGGTGGGATCTTATCAGAGAGAACAAAGCCCTCCCCAGATGTTTACAGTCTGCACTGAGCCTTCTGCCAGGCGGGTTTTCTCCAGCAAGTCAAGTCTTGTTTGTGTACATCCCATTCCTGGCATTCCCACCATACCAACGCTGCTCCCAAAGCGGAAAACAGCAGGGCAGGTTCAGGGCTGTGAGGAAATCAGGGAACCCTGACGGGATCACTGCAGCCTGGAACTGAGGGGGACCTGCACCCCTAACCCCACACAGCACGGACTCCCCGCAGCACCAAGGAGGGGAGCACAGGCCAAGGGCAGCCCCTGCTCCTGGAAATGGAGCACAAAGGCAACTCCAGCTCCATCTGGGCCAAATTAGCACTGGCTAGGGAGATGATCCCTGGAATGGCTCCTGTTGGAGGGGAAAGGAAGGGAAGATGGAGTTTGTGCAGCTTTGCCCCTGCTACTGCAGCCACACAGCCCTGTGAAGGGCCTGTGCTCAGGAAAACCCTCTGGATTTGAGTTTTGGACCTAAATATGTACAGCTGCTGACACTTGAGCAAGATTTAGCTAAACTACTTCCCTGCCACACACAGACATGAGACCCGACACATCCTGACCTTTCTGAGGCCGAGCTTTGCTGCGATCTCATCCACAACCTCGGCTTTGGGATCCTCCAGGATCTCCAGGCTGTTCTGGGTGCCAATCTGCAGCAGAGAGACACTGGTTAGTGACACAGAACTGGGCAAAAACCAGGGCAGCCACTGTGGGCAGTGAGGCAGGGGCTGGGAGCAGAGGTCTGGGCTTCCCTTCAGGCATCACCACAGACTGGTGTCACCCCAGAGACCTCCCTGTGCCACTCTGCTCTCAAGCCACACTCCCAAGGTGCCGTTTGTTCCTTTTCCACTGACAATCTGTTGGATTTTACTTGGCAGCCGTGCAGAAACCATGAGGAGGAAGGAAATACGTGTGGAGCACTCGGCTGAGGAGTGGTGCCGTGCCCCACCTAGTGGGGATTCCAGCTGCTCCAGCCAAACCCATCCTCAGCCTCTCCATTATTTCGTTTTAAAATCATTTAGACTTCATTCTATCTAATTAAGCTACTTAAATTTTCTCAGAGAGATGGTAAGGAACTGAAGCAAGGGCTGCAACTGTTTTTTCCTAGCACAGAATCTGCTGGAAAAGCAGGAATCAAGGAAAGATTAAAAGTGAAATCTGCAGTTACAGTTACCCTGGATTTAAATTATCAAAGGGTGAAAAACAACAAAAAGCAAAATGAGGGTTTAAAATTCTTTCTCTGGCTGCAATGGATGGTGATGTTAAGGACACAAATCATGTTCTCTTTTCCTTGGGGAGCTGCAGCTGGAAACACCAAACTAGAAAGGTGTTTGTGTGTTCCCTGATCCTGAGCTGGCACTGAGGGTTCTGGCTCTCACCTTTTCTCAGGACAGTTTTCCTTGTGGGAAATACTGAAGATGGGAATACTGTGGGAGGTTTTCCAAACTAAAAAGGTGTGTTCCCCAGTTGTGAGTGGCCCTGGCTCTCACCTGGGGGGGTTCATAGATGGCTGCCACCTCCGCCCGGATGCCCAGCGGGATGTCTTTGTGCTCCGTGTACCGGCCGTACAGATAGCCCAGATGTTGGTTCCCTGTCTTCCTCCAGAAGTCTAGGAAGCGATCTGCAATTGTGTGGTTCTCAAACATGATGTTGTCAACATGCCTGTATTTCTGTTTGACAAAGTTCAAGTGTCAGGCCGTCCTCCGCTGGCTCCGGTCCCTTCCCAGGACAGACACCCCCCTCCGGAGCTGGGTCCTGCACAGCAGGGCTGGGGGAGAGGCTGGGGGCTCCCTCCCTCCTCCCTCTGCTCAGCTCCCACCCCTCTGCACTGCTCCCGGCTCAGCCCGGCCTCTGGGATGTGCTCAGCACCCCCAGCACCTCGGGGGCTTCACTGGGACCTTCACCCCAAGAGGGTGAAGGGAAAAGGACTCTGAAATTTAAGAGGAAACAGCAGAACCTGAGTGGCTTTTTGGATGATCCCATGAGGAAAACCAGTGGGATTATCAGCAGGATTCATCACTAGTGCTGCTTGCTCAGTCCTCACGCTGGGAGGAAATTCTGACCCAGGACATTTTGGAACCCATTTGGCAAGGCCTGAAGACCTGGATGGGACTGCCCTGACACCTGGAGGCTTTGTGCTCCTGGCTGGAGTTTTTGGAAGTCCCCATGCAGGTGCCCGAGCTCCTCTCACCTGTCTGTTGAGGGTGATGGCACTGGGCTGGCACTTGGTGCAGATCCCCTCGGGCCAGGGAGGGTGTCCCTCACACCCCGACTTGATCTTACAGCTGATGTTCTCCAGGGCTACAAACTTCCCTCTGGAGAGGAGGGAGGAGAAAGGGGGAAGAGAAACAGGGAACAGAAAGAAAGAAAGGTGGGAGAAGGATGAGAAGGGGGAGAAGAGAAGGAAGGGGGGGGAAGAGAAACATGGAACAGAAAGAAAGAATGGTGGGAGAAGAAGAGGGAGAAGGATGAGAAGGGGGAGAAGGAAGGGAGAAGGAAGAGGGGGAAGTAAAGGCTGCTGTTAGCACAATAAATGCTTTTGGAGCAATCATTTATTGAGTCTGTGGGAAGTAAGAGATTGTAGCACAGCAAATCCTTTCATGGGCACAAGGCTTCCTGGAAAGGGAAGTTCCCTTCAAATGAAAGTCTTGTGGACCTGAGCTGCATCTCCCAAAGAGATTTTAAAAGTCTCAAAGGCATTGAGGAATAGCAAGGAGAGGATTCCACCCCTGTGTAACTTATGCCCACCAAGTCTGAGAAACAGGCTTGGAGCTTGGTGTAATTAGGGAACTTCTTTCTTTCCATGTGGCCTTCCCTCCCATCAGGAGTGCTTCCTGGAAGGAATCATATTGCCACAGGAAAAGAAAAAAATAGAAATAAAATGGGTACATAAAATCAAAAGAGAGACTTAATTTTTCCCTCCTGCCTTCTCCTTTCAACCTCAACTTTTTAATGTGCTTTTTTCTCCTTTGTTCGCCATTCAATCCTCGTGTCCAACACTGAAACCTGTCTGTATTTTCATTTGTGTTAAAAAAACCCAAAGCTCCAACCAGATTCCCTTAAACCCAGAGATTTCCTTACTTGTCTGCCCCTCCGGTCAGCTTCCTGATGTAGGCATGGAATGACATGTGCTTCACAGGAGGCTCCAGATGGTTCAAATAATCCTCATCGAAGGGCTGCCAAAAACACGGCACAGAGCAGGGCCAGGTCACACACCTGTCTGATAACACCCTGATCCCTCAGCAAATGCATGTTCCACACTCAACCCCGCCAATGTGGAAGCAATCAAGGAAATTCAGGCTCATTTGCAAGGCAGCTACTACTGGGATGCAAACAGTGGAGCTTTACAACGGGGAGTTTTATGGTGGCCTGCTGCTCCGGGAACAGATTGGCCCCACAAATCAGAATCTCAACGGCAAAAGGTTTTTTCCTTTCAATATCTAACAACAAACAACGGGCCCAGCTGTTCCAACATGGCCAAGGATTGCCAGAGCACTTCCAGCAGAGGGGAAGAGCCATCCTGGAGCAGCAGGATTCCCTCTGGGGAGTGGCTGCTGCTTTGTGCCATAAATTACACAGCCCTGCACGTCTGGAGGTGTCACTAAAGCTGCTTCAACCTGGACAACCATGGAATGGTTTGGGTTGGGAGGGGCTTTAAAGCTCACCCTATTCCAGACCCTGCCATGGCAGGAACACTTCCACTGTCCCAGGGTGCTCCAAGCCCTGTCCAACCTGGCTTGGGCACTGCCAGGGACCCAGGGGCAGCCACAGCTGCTGTGGGCACCCTGTGCCAGGTGGTTAAACTGGGAAGTGCTGGGATCCAGGAGAGAGGGGACAAAACAAGAAAATCCAGGGAAAAGTGAGGACTGAGGGAGAAAGGAGCTTTTTGGAAGCACTTTCTGTTAAACTCATTACTGCAGAAAACCAGCTTTAACCAGGATCAACCCAGGGCCACAGAGCTTTAGTGATCCCAAAGCAGCAGCTGTGGCAGGGCAGGATTCCAGCCTGGAGCTGCCACCTCTTGGCAGGCACCATTCCCAGGAAAAGTGTTCCTACTGGGAGGAACTGGGCTGAGCCTGTGGCACCTTCCTGGGGCTCTTACCTCCAGTGGGACACAGTGCACACATTTGCCCAGGGGGCCGTGGCGACACCTGGGCAGAGAGAGAAAACTGGGGTTAAATCTCATTTCACCTGGAAACTGAAGTATGAATAAATAAATCTTATTTAATCATGGAAAAATCAGCCTGTAAAAGTTTCTCTGGAGTAAGTTTGGTGTGGAAGATCTACATGAGCTCTGAGCAATTCTCCACCCCCTATGTGGCAGGGTGATTTTAACAAAAAGCCACCCAAAATGTTCATCCTTTATCAGGCAGGGCAGGAACAACCAGGGAAGTGTGTGTTTATCAGGCAGATACAGTCCTGCTGGGTAGGGTTACAAAGGGGAAAACATCTCCTTTTGTGGGGATTGCTTTAAAAAACCCTAAATCAACACCAGGTCAGTGCTGGTTCCCAAAGGAAGGGCCCAGGAGAGAAGCAGTGAGGTTGGGCTGTGGGAACAATAAATGGGATCTGGTTGCAGGAGGTTTTTAAAGGATGTTTTGTGGCAGATAATGTACAGAAAGGAAAGTTAAATGCTGCCAAAGCACTCAGCATCCTGCACTGGAGATTGATCCACACTCCCCAAGGCAGGAGCCAGCCCAGACAACTCCTTTTATCCTCAGCACCCTCCCCTGGGCCCTGGCTCCCTGCTAGAACAACTCCATCAATTCCTCTGGAAATGTGGGCGAGTTCAAAGCAACATTTCTGCCACAGAGTGGTGGGGTTGCCTTTATTGCTCCAGTGATGTGACATCCCATCATTTATGGTCAGCTGGGAAGGGCAGGGAGGATTCTCCACAATTTCCTCATTGCTGCAGCTCTGAGGATGAACCACATGAAGCACAACCCCAGGGGAAGGGCAAACCATTTTGTTTTAGCAGGAATTCCTGCCTTTAAAATTTTCCCTCCAACCTTTTCAGGAGTCTAATTCCAGAGGGTTCCAGCCCCAAGGCCACACCAGACATCAGGCCAGGACCCAACTGGATCATTAAGCAATTAAAAGCCCCCTCCCAGCAGAGGATGTTTTAGCAGCATCAGAGCAGGTTTTGGGTGGGTTTAACTTGTTGTTGTGCTATTTTTGCATAAAGAGAAGCTGCTTTGTTTCCCTAAGCCTCTTGCAAGGAAGAGCTTTGGCAAGTTGGACTTTGGTGCATTTTTGTGAGCAAAAGGGACTTCCTGGTTTCATGGAGAGGTCAGGCAGACATGTGATGAAGGGAAGCCAGAGCAGGCAGAGGCCCAAGTGCCATTTCCAAACCTCTGCCATTGGATACTTCCATGTTTTCCTTTATGAGGAGTGGCTGAGTCTGAAGGCTCCTGCTCCTGCTTGGGACAGCAAATTCTGGAATGCTTTGGGTTGGAGAGACCTTAAAGCTCATCCCATTCTCCTATCCCAGGGTGTTCCCAGCTCCACCCAACCTGGCCTTGGGCACTGCCAGGGATCAAGAGGCAGCCACAGCTGCTCTGGGCACCCTGTGCCAGGGCCTGCCCACCCTCACAGGATGAATTCCTTCCCAATATCCATCTAACTCTGCCCAGGAAGAATGCAGAATGTCCATTGTAATCTGGAGAGCTCCAGAGCTTTAGGAGCACAAAATCCAGGAGCACGAGCACCAGGATCTCCTCCATTTGAACAATGGCAGGAAGGACTCAGAGCAACCAAAAACCCTGGGATTTGGGCATCTGCTTCCTCCCTGGGCCCACCAGGGGCTGTTTTCCCTTGGGAATGTCCCCAGGGCACTCAGGATGGAGCCAAGGGCAGCTCCCCCAGGAATTTCCAGCTCTGGTGAGCCCCAGCCCCACGGGCAGCACCAGGAGCCACCCCCACTTACAGCTGCTGGTCTCGGTTCCGGTAAATCTTCCCATCCTGCTTGATCAGGTACTGGTCAATCTCATCTTCCACCACCTGGGGGGCCCCCCCAGGCCGGGAATTTTGGGAGACAGAGGTGTCCATGGTCTCTGAGGAGGAGCCAGCTGGGCTGGAGGGATACAGGAACAGCATATCCCCGTGCCTGCAGGAGGGGAAACAGCACAGGGCTATGGGAGCTGTGGGACACAACAGCCAGGGGGCTGGAGGTGCTTCAAGGGCATGGAATGTGGCACAAATTGTAACCAGGCCAGCACAGGTGGCACTTGGAAGCTGCTCTGTGAGCCACCTCTTCCTGCTTTAATTTGCAAGAAATGCAAATCCTTCCAGCAGGAGAGAAAGCTGAGAGGAAAACAGGGAGGAGGGAGTTGGGATGAAGGAGTAAAAACAAGGATGTGGGAGAGAAAGCTAGGAAAGGAGAGGGAAGGAAAGCAGGCATGAAAGGGTGAAAACAGGGATACAGGAGGGTAATAGGGGGATAAGGCAGGGAAAGCTGGGGATGACAGAGGCAAAGTGGGGATGGGGCAGGGAAAGCTGGGACAAAGAGGTGAAAGAGGGATTAGGGAGGGAAAATGGGATGAAGCCTCCCCACAGCAAACACCCCCAAGGAATGACCCAAGGAACAGCCACCACCTGTCCCATGTCACCGTGAGCCCCATTCCAGCACAGCCACCAAGCCCTCCCCTCAATCCCAGCAGTGACACTGGGAGCTGGGCACTCCTGGGATGTGACTTTCCCCATTCTGGAAGCTCCAAGCAGAGCCCCCCAGCCCTGGTGAGGACTCACTTGATCTTGAGCAGATTGAGGGATTTGTTCTGCGCTGCCGTGATCTCGCCGGTGCGGTTGCGGTTGGTGTACACAGAAAATCCATTATTCCTGAAGCCAAACTCCTTGGCCACCTGCAGCACAGGCAACAGGGACAGGGTGTGAGGTGTGAGCCTGCTGAAAGGGGCTCAGAGCCACAGCTGACCCCAGAGAGCTCCTCCTGCAGAAACTCAGCTCAATTCACCCCATTCCTGAGCTCGGAATAACAAGAGATGGAAATACCTGGAAAAAACGAGCAGTGGATTAAAGCAGGAGCTGAAACAACTCCACCAGAACTGTCCCTGCCTCACACCACACAAAGGCAGAGCTGCAGGCACAGCCAGGCAGGCTCTGCATGACTGCAGGGGGAAACTTCTCCACCAGCCCAGTTTCCTTGCCCCAGCACACACCACCAAGTCATTCCCATCCTCCTGCCCTCAGAATTCCACAATCCACACTTCCACCTCCATGGATCTTCCACCCTCAGCTCTGTTCCCCTCTCCCAGCTGCTCCACTCAACCTCTTCCTGCTGTTCTGGCTGCTTTTCCCCCTTTTCTGCTCTCTCCCACGGAATTCGCTCCAGCACAGCCACCCCTTGGTCCCCAGGCAGGTTCTCCCAGCTCAGATTAAGTCTGGTTCACTTGGAATCACTCCAGCACCTCTTCCCTGCCAAAATAATTTGCACATTTGGCCCCTTGAGAACTTCATCAGTTTAAGAGTGGTGTTTAAAGTTTGTCTGTTTGCCAGGTTTTGCCCTAAATTCTGAAGTGAAAAGCTTTATTTTTATTAATAAAAACAATCCCCCTGGCTTAGGTGGGAGTCAGGGATGGGGTCCTGCCCACAGGACAAATCTGATGAGCCACAAAGAGCTGTCACATGAGCACAGCCATGAAAAGCAGTTTTTTTCCTGTCAGCTCAGCTGTGATTTGCAGCACTGAGTGATCCCTTTGAATGGGACCCTTTCACAGGGATCAGCTCCTGCTCCTCAGGCCACAGAATTCCATTTTTGGGGGCAGACAAATCCCACAGCACATTAACAGCAGGTTTGAGCTGACTCCTGATGCTGAGCACACCCAGAGTGACTTTTTTGGGTGCTTTTCCCCGGGATGTGCCCCAGGAGACAGGGAAGATTCCCTAGCCCTTTATTCCTTGAGCACTCCTGGAGCAGATCCAGGCTCATTCCTGGAATGGAGGCAGCAATCTGACACCTCTCTAACTACAGCTGCCCCCCTAAACACCAAACCCAGCCCCTGGCTGAACATCCCAGCATCAAAACCCACAGCACAGGTAGGATAGACCTGGATTTAGATAAAACACAGACCTCAGGTGGGAAAATTTGCCACTTTCCTGTTCCTGCAGCAGGAAATAAACCCAAACACATCCCTGTTGCAGCTCAGAGCCTGCCCCAGATGAACAGGCAATCCCAGGTGCTTTTGTCCTGGCAGGAAGTGTTTTCCAGCCCGAGTAACCCGAGCCCTGGAAAGCAGCAGCTCGTTCTGCACAGGCTCCAGAGCTGCTGGAAGCTCCTCTTGCTTGGCTGGGGCTGCAGGGAGTGTCCCTGAGGCAGCCCTGAAAAGCAGCAGGATTGTCCTGGCCAGGTGGGAACGCTGTCAGGGAATGCTGTCCTCCTGTCTGGGCCACAGCTCAGCCCAAGCTGTGACTCACAAAGGGAAGGTTCCCACTGCTGCCATTCCCTTCCCTTCAGGAACACACTCAGGGAGCAAAGAACCCCCAGGCTGAGGCTCCAGAGGAGGGGAGCAAAGGGAGAACTTCCTGAAGAACAAAAGCAGCTGCATCACAGCAGGGCCAGCCCCATCTCCAGAGTGTGTTCCCCTCCCCAGGAGCTTCAGTGATCTCACTCCATCCTTACCCTGCCCTTCCCAGGGGCTCCTGGGATCTCACTCCATCCTTACCCTGCCCTTCCCAGGGGCTCCTGGGATCTCACTCCATCCTTACCCTGCCCTCCCCAGGGGCTCCTGGGATCTCACTCCATCCCTGCCCTGCTCCCTCCAAACCCATCCTGGAGAACCAGGAGCACACACAGCACACCCAAACAACATTCCAACCCCAAATCCAGCAGCCTGGAACCCGCCTGGAGCAGCAGGTTTGGCCATCCCACAGCTCCCCTTCAGCTTCCCAGCTGCCACTTCTTTGGGAGAACCCCTTGCCAGGAAAGCTCCCACCCCAGGAAGCCCCAGCAGAGAAGCTGAAGGAGTTTTTTCTTTAAATTTCTATTTCCCCTCTGGAACAACACAAACTGCACCAATCCAGATGTGGTTTTCCACATGGAATGCTGCTCCTGGCTGCTGCCAGGGGGGTTAAACAGGAATCTCCCACAGGACAGAGCCAGGGGAGCCCTGCCCCATCCCGTGGGAAGGCACTGGGCACCCTGGGTACCTTTTTGAGGAACGTCCCCACTGTTTCTCTCTTGGTGGCCGTGATTCTCTTCACTCCCTCCGGCGACTGCACACGGATAATCTGGGAATGAGGGAGCACGGGGTCAGGGAGGGGGACAGACCCACCCTGAGCCCCCAGACTGATGCTCCCCGCTCCTCCCTCCTCTTCCCTCTCCCACAGGCCTGGAATCAGCCAGGGGAGCAGCTCTGGGGCAGCGCTGGGTGATGTCTGTGAGCAGGGGGGGAATCATTCCAACGCTCCTGGCACCAGCTGGCTCCAAGGAAAACACCTCTGGCCAAAGCTCTGACCTCAGAGGGGGAATGAGACCTTCAGGAGGCCGCACCAGACCTTCCAAGGGGAGTTACTCACACAGGCACCGGCCCAACTGGTGTTACTGGGCACTGCACTGGTGCGGCCGAGCCCCGGGAACGGGGAGGGGGGAGAGACTCCGGGAAACCGGAGCTCCTGGCGGGGGGAACGGGGAGAGGAACCCTCGGGGACAGGGACAAATGTGAACCTCGGTGTCCCC